TATATATATATATATACAGCTAATTCAATAAAGGTTGTCCTTTGCAAACCTTAAACTCTAAAACCTTAAACCTTAAACTCTAAGCGCGCAAAGCGTAATGGGAGCACTATTTAAGCAGTTTAGAAAGCATACATGGACGGGTATGTAGCTAAAGCTTTTCTTACAAAATTCTGACAAATGTCTAGGAACAAAAAAAATCAGTATGATTTGCCCTACGTAAGTTGTGCTTGTGCACCGAAGACGTGTGGATGGTTAAGGTGGAGTAATACGGGCAACAAAATTGCTGCAACTTGCAACAAAATCTGATTTCAACGCATGTTAAGTAGAAATGTCGACACATGTTGCCTCGTGATTTGTAATTTATGTGTATAAACATTTTCAATTAACATGCATACCATAAACCTCCGAGTATAAGCCCTGGGCTTATATAATTTCGTAAGCGATTTTTGATGGGCTTATACAAGAGGGGGCTTATATACGGGTGGGCTTATACATGGACGATCTTTTGTGTTAGTAATAAACAAGTCAGACATAAACAAGTCAGTCATAAACAGGGAAATAAACGTGAATTAAGCAGCGATTGCTGGGCTTATATTAATTGGGGGACTTATATTCGGGGGGCTTATATTCGGGGGGGGCTTATATTGGAATGAAGTGAGCGTTAGTACATGTGGTGGGCTTATACGGGGGCTTATATTCCGAGAGGCTTATAGTCTGAGGTTTACGGTATACTGCATAGAAACTGAGATTTTGTTGCAAGTTGCAGCAATTAACTAGAAACCATATTATTGGCCGCCAAAAGTGTTATTCTGTCACCGTTTCAGATTAATTATTTTAACTATCGATAACGAGATCATGGATAGTTAAAAGAATGGACATAGGAAACAGCTGGCGCGAGCGATCGTGACCGGCTATTTGAAATTCGTGATGTCAACTATCCATGTTGAACCTGAAAGACACAAGTCAAAACAAGACGAGTTGTGATACAATTTAATTTCAAAATCATGCATCACCACACTAACAGTATAGCTTGATTTTTTTAAAAAAAGCGAAATATCACAAACTCATTATCGTTTGTTTATTAGTTCAATGACTCATGTCTCCAGTTTCAAGGATATACAAAACAGTTTAGATGAAAGGGATCACACGTGCATGAACAAGTTTTGTGAATATATATAGTTATTAATAAGAATAAAACATGAATTCATAATAAAACTATATAAACTTAATAAATTTAGTTTTGTATGGCGATCGATATAATACGTGTATTAATTTAAAACTTGTACTTTAAATAAATTGTCTATATAATTATTAAGAAAGACTCGTAATTAATGTCAGTGACCACTTTTTTAAGATAGAAAGACAGTATGCAAACACAATAAACATGCTAATTTATTTATATATATATATATATATATATATATATATATATATATATATATATATATATATATATATATATATATATATAAAATTTGGTTTTGTTGGTTATAAAAACTTTTGGCAAAGTGCTCAATGGAAAACCAGAGCATATTTAAATTAAGGTACCAACAAACCTTTTGTTGATTTGTTGTACCTTATATATATATATATATATTACAGGTTACAATTTTCAACAACGTATACCATTGACACCGCTTTTGCCGTACAAAATTGCAGAACTAAAGTCAGTGCCAATGCCCCATAGAGATTATATATATGCAGAGAATGTGAATGTTTAGGCTGGCAAAAAACGTTGTATATATCTGTTCGAAAAATATTTCGAAAAACGTTGGCGCAAAATATTACGTATATAGTCGATCACACAATTACTTGATCAGAAATTCGTCTTTCGTGTGCATTGATAAAAAACGAAATTTGCTTACCTTGTGAAGTTTTGTTGTGTTGTAAAATGTCTCTTTTTGCCTTTATTTATGGATACAAATTTAGTCGTACTACCTTGAATTTGACAGTCTAAAATATGCTCCTTTAATTGCCTTTGGCGTTAACACAAGCAATATAATAGAACACATTTAACAAATGTCTAGTGTAATTAATATACATGGGGATATTTATGCTCGACAAACTAAGTAACAGTAAAATCATTAAAAATTAATGAGAATATTCGGTTTCCAGCAATTTTATTTAATTGCACATTTTATATATATTGGATATCATAGTCAGTTTCAAACTAGCGAGAACCTGGACATGTTGTAGACTTTGATAGTATACATAGTTCAAAGATTTTGGAAAAACATCTTTCGCAACAGAATTGCGGCGCTTCCTATTTATTTCTCGAGTGCGAACACGGACATAAATTAGAACATGGCTGTACGTGTAAATTACAGGCGGGAACACGAGGGGTCCTTTTTGAAGTCATTTTTTATAAAAACGGTTACAGCACTTGAATGCTGATTGATTGATGATTGGATTGAATTAGATGTGGAGACAAATCTCATCCGTGACGGCATATGGAGAACATGGTAATGGACTGGACTCGGAAAACATGGACTCATGCAGTCAGTGATTTGGAAAAAAATTGACTGCTGAGTTCATGATTGTGGCAATTGATACACCAGGCGTAAATATTAGTTTAAAGATGTAAATTCATTTAGATTGCTCATGTTGTATTGTAAACAACGAAACGTTAGCAAATATTTTTTTTTACTTTTATTATGTTTAACTTAAAGTTATATTTGCTGGGGTCTGCTCTTTACTTTAAACTAAGTTCATGATTTGTAAAACATAGTCTGAGTTTTACAAATCACGAACTATGGGACAGAGTCCGTCTTTTACAAAACACCACATGTTTTACAAAACACGGACTGAGTCCATGTTTTGCGAGACGATTCCAGTCCATCGTTTACAACATGCCTTTCGTGACTTATCAATGGGAACAGAAATTATAAACAATTAATACTTCTGACAGCATATCCAACTGTGTCGGGTCAAAATTTTCCTATAATTTTAACATGAAACCAAAACAAAATGTTATGTATTTGAAAAGCATTTGTTAATAAAGGAGTTTTCAATTTTCTGCACGGTTGAGTAGCCTAATTAAACGAATGTATTTTCCTTTACGTGTTTTTGAGTTCATTTTACGACTGTTTTAGACGTCGAATTTTAAGGTGGCTCAATATAGTAATCCTCCCAAAATTATTTTATAAAAATCAAGAAAACAAAATATTGTCCTATTTGCCCCCGCCATTCTACGCCTACTATTGTGCGTCCTGTCGTCACGCTGACGTCTTAAAAAATTCAATTTTAGAAAACCGATTATTTTGTCTGGTAACCTGTTCAAATTTTGCACGCTGTTATTGTATTACAAGTCTGTCGTTGTGCCAAAAAGAAATTAATCTGTAATACCAAGAAACTGTTATTGCATTAATTTAAAAAATGGCATTAATTAATAACAGTGAGTTAGTTTCTACGTAAAATTGGAGGTTACAATGCTTCTTTTCCAACTATACGAAGCAGTAGGCTATTTTAGAGTGACGTACGCGTGTGTTGCCATAGCAACAAACAATGTGTTACCAAAAACTAGCATAATTTGAAATGTTTCATAAAGCCGCAAAATACGAAGTTTAAAAATGTTGAACTGTTGCATATGTACACGTGAATTATTTGAAAAATGTATCAAGCCATCTTGATACCGTTGAATTTATGCTTCTTAATTTAATTCGACGGAATTTCGGAGCCAATTTCTGTCAATTTGCGACGAAACGCATTTTAAAAAATGGCAAGAATAATAATGAACTAATAGCTTTTAAAAACAATATCTTACATCTTCCAATATCAGCTGCACGCGATATTACTTTAAGTACACTCTAGACGGCGAATGCCATTATACAACAGAGTAGCCTGCGAGCAGGCTCTCTGGGGAAAGAGAGCCTGCAAGGATCCCTTTGATGATTCGGTGCATGCGTCCAATATTTGGACGCAGTGCTCTGA